TGTTTTTTATTTGTATAAGTCTTTTGTAATATTCTGTTTAGAGGTTTTTGCATTTGTATTGGTTTCTGTTTTTTTTTTAGCCTTTATTGAAAATTTTTTATTTCGTTTAATTTTTTTTATATTTTTAAAAAAATTTTATCCCCCCCCCTCTTTAAATTTCTTTTTTTACTTTTAGCCCCCCCTTTCTTTGCCGCCATTTTTTGTAATGCCTCCCCCTCTAGTTTTTTAGCCCCCCTCCTGATAATTATTGCACAGTCCCTAAATTAAAAATAACCTGAAAGTGAAAGTCCTTGGAATTGAATTTTGTTCCTAGTGCTTTTTCTGCTTCTTCTCTTAGATCCATGATTGACAGTTGCCCAAGCGTATACGTCACAGCCTGTCCCGGGATGCTTTGATAGCGTGTCACTTCTTTATCGACTTTGTCACTAGTGTCCCAAGCATAATCGGCAAAAATCTGTAAAGCCCAGTCACGTGACTTGCCTTTGAAATGCAGTCCCGTGTCAACTATTAACCGCAAGGCGCGCCAAATCTGAAGCGATTAAAAAAATATGAAGCTATTGATATAATAATAAATACAATAATTAATATCACTCTATAATAAAGATACACACATTAAAAGAGGCAAAAGCAACAAAAGTCTTCTAAGAAAGGTTGAAAGGTACGTAGGAGCTATACACCGAGAATATCGCTGTTTTAGGGAGTGTTTTAGGTCAATTATGTTCTGAAGTCATTACTTAGTACATTTACCTATACAAAAAAATAGTCCTGTTTATTCAAGAAGAAGCCATTCAACATAATTATTTAATCAGGGAGTATTTAACCATAATAGTTTTTTCGGTCGTTTTCTCAGGTATAACATTAAAACTTGAAAAAGTTGGCCCAATTTTTTTTAAAGTTACAATCCATGTCCATCCTTGCTGATGCGACGTACAATGTTTTTTAAAAAGATGGCAAATAGCGTGAGGCACCCCCTTCAAGGGGCAAACTCGTACCTAACTTAACTGCCTTTATTTGGGTTTTTCACAAACTCAACGTTGGAAGAATTAACGTTTTGTGGCGCAAGTTAAATGAAGAGGCAATATCTTCGTTGCCCTTCCTAACTAAGGTAGATATTAATGAAAATGCAATACCTGCCACTTCAGCATGCCATACTTGGTCAGCGGATCATCATTGTATGTGTCCGTGTATTTTGATATCAGCGGATTTTCAGCGTACACTGCCCATCCTTCAGAAAACTCCAGGAAAAAGGTGTTACGCTGAATCCACGAAATAGGGTCCAAACAGCTGTCCTGAAAGTGCTCTACATATCCTTGGCTCTAAAATAAATTAAAAATTTAAATGTCTCTTGTCCCAATTTTACATTGCTGCAAATGATCAGGATTGCTGGTTAGAAAAGCAGTCACTATAGCGAGGATTCCGAGGGTCTCCGAAAAATAGAAGTCTGATTGCATAGAGTTCAATTACAGTAATAACACTTTGCAGTGAACCGAGCATTCAGCTATCTTTTCAGAAGTACAACCGCGAAATCAGAGCCAAAAAAAACATTACGTTTCCTTTTGTGCAAGAGACAAAATTAATTTCCTCAATAAAGTTTCGAGAACAGAGAGGAAATGAGAGGAAACTAGGAAATATATATATTTTTTATTTAAGGTGGCTCCGTAATTAATACAAGAGCATTTAGCTGTGACAAATTTTCCGTCATAACTTTTTCGATTTTAACGCGATGGCTGCGAAACTTTGCAAAGAATAACAGATACCATTCGGCAATAATACAGAATATTCCGATTTCATTGATTGTAAATATTTCTTGAGAAATTAGCGCTTAAAAGGACCCTAATGTTCAAAGAAAATCGCGTATAGTAAAAAATTTTGCTGATATTTTTTACTGAAATTTCTGGTATCGGCTTTAATTGATATAATAAATATGCCAGACAATTTCAGAAGAATCGTTGGAGCAGAAGTCCGTAACTAAAAGTCGCTCAAAATTCAGCTGTGAAATTGTTTTGGAATTTCAAAAATAAATTACTATCTGGAAGAAGGAGACACCAGTTTGAATTTTCGGGACAAGTAAATTCAATGTTTGCTAATTCTGAAAACAAAAGCCGATTGCCTATCGTGCTATTCTTTAAAAGGTACTTTTCAGTTTTAGAAGCACTATAAATTACTCCAAACCTTGCTCTGACGTCGAATGACTTGTTCCGCGACATTTTTAAAATATCCCTTGGCAGTTTTGCTTCAAACTCCTGCTACATACATGTTGATGTATTGCAATGCATCCTCAACGGCTTTTCCTGCTGTACGTTGTTTCCAATTCAGGAAAAAGGTATTGGGATTGTAAGCTACCTTGTATCGAAGCTCAGATAGAACTGTCCAGCACCTTTGTTTATGACGAGAAAATGAGCACGAGCGGCAGCTCTGCGAGGAATTCGCACCTCAGCCAGGGGGGACGAATGACAATGATGCCCATGTCTGTGAACCGATCTGTATAAACATGTATTGCAGAGCAAAACATAATAATCAAGAAAAAAAATACCCATTCATTGAAGGAAGAAGTGACAAAAATTTCAGAGTTGTAAATTTATTCACGGGCAGTATTTTTGCGATAATTTTATTTTGCACTGTGATGTTATTCGGTTCACAGGCATGGTCATCATTGTCGTTCGTCCCCCCTGGGTGAGGTGCGAATTCCTCGCAGAACTGCCGCTCGTGCTCATTTTGTAGTCATAAACAAAGGTGCAGGACAGTTCTATCTGAGCTCTGATACGAGGTAGCGTCCAATCTCAATACTTTTTTCCTGAGTTGGAAGCAACGAACAGCAGTAAAAGTCGTTGAAAATGCATTGCAATACATCAAAATGTATGCAGCAGGAGTTTGAGCCAAAACTGCAAAGGGATATTTTAAAAATGTCGAAGAACAAGTCATTCTACTTCAGAGCAAGGTTTGGAGCAATTTATAGTGCTTCTAAAACTAAAAAGTACCTTTTAAAGAATAGCACGATAGGCAATCGGCTTTTGTTTGCAGAATTAGCAAACATTGAATTTACTTGTCCCGAAAATTCAAACTGGTGGCTCCTTCTACCTGATAGTAATTTATTTTTGAAATTCCAAAAACAATTTAGCTCAATTTCACAGCTGAATTTTGAGCGACTTTTAGTTACGGACTTCTGCTCCAACGATTTTTCTGAAATTCCTCTGGCAAATTTATTATATCAATTAAAGCCGATACCAGAAATTTCAGTAAAAAATATCAGCAAAATTTTTTACTAGACGCGATTTTCTTTGAACATTAGGGTCCTTTTAAGCGCTAATTTCTCAAGGAATATTTACCATCAATGAAATCGGAATATTCCGTATTATTGCCGAATGGTATCTGTTGTTCTTTGCAAAGTTTCGCAGGCATCGCATTAAGAACCAAAAAGTTATGACGTAAAAATTGGTCACAGCAAAATGCTCTTGTATTAATTACGGAGCCACCTTAACCCACCTGTGTGTAGTGTCCTGGCCTCGCCTCGTGAGCGTTTATGGTCCATTCCTCATTCTTGGGCCCAGGTCTTTGCATAAAGAATGGTATACTATACACTGGAGGCTTGGAGCAAACAGAGTCACTTTCTTGAAAGGTTGGTGCAGCAGAAGATGGATTGAAGTTTGGAATGAGCTCAACAGGACAGTTTGGAGTGGACTGGTACGAGCCAGTAAAATGAAACATATCAATGGTCTTCGGGTCAAGTGTGGCCATAATCTATGCAATGAACCACAATCACAGTCACTTATAGAAAGAGTAGCTGAGTGGTATTTAGACAAGCTCCTCAGAGGCAGGAGGGAGAAAAATTTACTCAGCGTTCAATAACCTTATCGTTATGTCAATTTATAACGATGTGTTGTGAAGATTGCTATGCCTAATAAAGAAGTAATTTCGTTTCATCGAGAGGTGTACTTTTGAACGTTTTGTTAAGCCATCCTCCTCTTAGGAGAACAATTTTGTAAAGGCAACATATAAATAGTGGAGGCGCGTGTGAACGAGTGGCTAACACTTCGAACTCCAGATCTGGAGGACCGGAGTTCAAATCTCGTCCGCCGTTTTTTCTCCTTGGACAAGAATTTTTACTCCACTTTGTCTCCTTTCACCCAAGGCTTGGTAGTTCAAAGGTTGGATAACGCTATCCACAGGATAAAAATCTATCCAGTGGATAACGCAATTGTTTTCCCAAATACTCATGCGCTGCATAGTGATTTATCCGGTGGATAGCGCTATCCAACATTTGAACAACCAGGGCCAGGTGTACAAAGGGGTAACGGCGACATACTGCTTGGGGGCGGGGAAGGGGTGGGGCGTTAACCCTGCGATGGACTAGCGTACCATCTAGGGAGGAGTAGCAATACTCCTAGGCATGCTTCATACTAAGGAAACCAGGTAAGCTTCGGCCGTTTGAACCTTTGGCTCGTACCTGCCTTAACCTTCTTTTACATATAAATAGGGAAAGGCTCGCCCCACGTACAAGATGCTTCTTATAACCAACGTAACACTAAAAATTAGAATCAGTAACATATAGTCAACCAGGGATACATGACCCAGGGTACGATCTTCTGCACTGTACGCTGTCATGGCGTTTCCTTTTTGAGGGGCAGAAAGACTAGAAAAACACAAACTGAAATGGAATTATATTTTCGACATTCTGGTAACAGATTTGCTACTTTTCATTTAACACACGACCTTCGACTTTTCCGTGAGAAAACGCTTTAAATCGTGTCTTAATATCTACTGGTCTGTACAAATGTGTTGACATAGATTTGGTTTCAGAGTTGTCTGGGTTGATCACCCCCTTTTATGTCTTTTATAGACACCTTAGTTATCCTAGAGATTTTACCTCTCGAGCATGCGCAAACCAATTTTGCATGGCATTCCAGCGGATTGGACAGTACTTCTTTGCACCACTAATTGAACTGCACAGCTTGTAGGCACTTTCATTGGATTCACTCACTGGAATTTCTTGCTCGTTGTAAAACATTTCTGATCGGTTCAATATTTTAATGAACTTTTCCTTTGCAATTTGAGTATTGTTTTCAAGGGTGACGTGTCGCGTCAAGTTTAGAACCTTATAAAAAAGAGATAATGTTACACTGTCAGATAAACACTTTCCTTATGTAATTACTAAATAAAACAACTGATGAGATAATGATGATAACATTTGTCAGTGACATGAGTGATGAAGACCATGATTAGGATGATGGTGATGATGCTCAACGACGATAATGGTGACGACGATAATGGTGACGACGATAATGGTGACGACGATGATGGTGATGATGAAAAAAATCTACTTATAAAATTGTCTTGGGGTATGGTTAATTCCTTACCTCTGGATAACTTCGATTTATGATTGACCAACCTAGTCGGTAGATTTCATCGGGGGTCTTCTCGGTAGTAGTAAAGTATTGCAGAAGCTTTAGATAAGTTGTCTTCCCGTTGAGTTTTTCGCCTGTGGGGAGACGTTCTGATGTCTTTTGACTAGTCTTTTTGCCGTGAATGTAAACATAGTCCAACGGTAATGTGGCTAAACCGCTAGATATGTTACTTGGGACGCAATACTGTGAATGTTCCTTTTCGACGTACCTAGAATATAGGAGAACTGAGAATCGGTTTTATACTGTTATTTTACTTCTAGCTCGATTTTAAATAACAACGTTACTGCTAAAATAGGCCTCTCCCGTAAAGCAGTTTTTTTTGTTCAAAATGTTCAAAGTAGCTAGGATAATAACTACAATGTAAGAGTGCTACAACTGTTTATTTCTTTTCCACTCTTTCTTTCTCCTGCTCGCTCTATCTATTTTTTTTTCTCTCTCTTTTCTTTCTTAGTGCGATTTTCGCGGGGCTTATCGGATCCAAGAAAGTATCCCTATTAATTTAGGGGATCCACAACGCTGATCTCATTGCCGTGACTGCTTCGCAATCCCAACCCAGCTACCGCAAGCATAAAGCATCAGATGGTACCTGAAAACAGTTAACAGTTTCGTTGAGATGAAATTCCAATGGGCCCTAACCACCTGTAAAAATATCCCCAGGTTAGCTCTAATCGGCCTTTGAACAATTGGGCCTTCAGGTGACAGCAACATCAACTTCAAGCTCGAAATCATTTCCGTTGCTTACAATTACTTAGCAGAAGACAGTATATTCCTTCTTATCAACTTACCTCAAAACATGATGAATGGGTTCACCAACGTACTCAATGACCCACTGCTTCAACGACTCGTTCACTGATTTGCCATGTGCCATTATCCACATGTCTAATTCTTTTTCCTTCATCAAGGACAGAAAATCATAGGCGAGAATTTTCTTCATGAAGTAAGCGTCAAGTATTCCTGTGAGTTTAAGATGGCACGAGTTACATTACAAATTTTAAAGATTTCTCTACTTTTATTATGGCTCCAATTATATGTATACATTTCCGATATAAACTACACATCGGCAAACGTCCTCAGAAGATCCTCGCAGAGCCTCACAATTCTTACCCAGGGAGGGGAATGAGTATACAGGCACCTCATAATAGCACCATTAGTTATACTTAAGTTATTCTTTTCATTTTTGGTAAAAAAAAACCTTACTGATTGTACAATAAAGATTTTTGCTGCTGTAGTAGTTGGTGGACTTTATAATGAGCACTGTCTTATTTTTTGCCAAAGGTTTGGAAACTTAACTTAGGCTTCTTAACATGAGCCTGGTTGACCGGGCTGGCACGCCTTCTGAAAGCTCATGTTCAGGGCTCAAGTGAAGAGGCCCTTAGACCCTTAAAATACCTCATGAAAAAAATACATGGTAGAATATTTATTTTTTCAAACGGGTACCATTTCGTTATAATACTAGGCCATATAAGCGAAGGTGAGATGCGTGGCCAAGAAGGACGAACTATATCCTGGGCGGGGCGGAGACAGACAGAGGCTATAAGTAGTGCTGCAATTTGAAAAGTGCAAATCAGTTCCAATTCAGTTCATCTCTCGCAAAATCACATGACGTATTTTTAAAAGGCTTTTCTTGTAAACATTTTTTAAAATACATATTTCTTTTTCCACAAAGACGCATAGCTCAGGTGTTAGAGTGATTTCCAATTGACAAACGTTCTTCATTCGAACAAACGGTTGAGATAAAAATGTGAAGTTATCACCCTCAAAGTCTGCTCATAAAAATGATTACATGTTACATCATTATTAAGTGTTACACGCAAAATATTATTTTGATAGGAAGATTAATAAAGTATGCACAGAAACCATATATTTATACTTTTTACTTCAGCGCCCGGGTTTACCTTGATTCTGCCAGTCAAACGCGAAAATACTTTTTAGTTAATCAAATGAATTCACCCCCATTGCCAGGTGAAAGTTTGCGGTGACTGTTTCAGATGGTTGAATTTCACAAAAACAGAGAATTTATTTGCTTGACAATTTTTATGAACGGATAAAACAATGAACTTGACTGACTCCCATGATGTACGAAGGTGGTGAAAAAAATTGTTCTCTCTAAGGTCAGTGCTACTTACATGCGGTAAGATGTCAATTATTTTATATGACTTCTATTGTTCAAAGGGCACTTCCTTTTCTTTATACTCATAGTTTTAATAATAAGAAACTGCTGAGATTGACTAGCAGCGCGAAAACAACTTTTTACAACGGTAAAACAATTCATGAATGCATTTCAGTATTGCTTTATTACTTGACTTTGTTTGTGAACTAAAGTGCAAACCGGACGTACAGTATACTCAAGGCCGCAGGCAGCTGTTCAATTGTAGTCCTTCAATATCATTATTGCTACTGAGTTGACATTATTCAATTAATATTTCCTGCAACATTGTTCCTCATTTCCTAGTGAATAGCCCATGATTCCTCTTCAGTGAAAAAAAAATATTTTGATAAGTAAAATAATTTCATTTTTTTGTTCTGTCTTTCTCCCTTTATCATTCAGTTTTTATCTCATATTTCCTAGAGAGACATTATCATCTCTTGCATTGAACTGTGCAAAACAAACAAATTTGTTGAACAATGCTTTGCGCAGGATCTGAATTACGCAGACCAAGATTAGACTTTTGCACTTTCTGAAACTGAAACATTGAAGCTCAAAAAAGGTCCCTGTGCTTTAACTGAATGGTTAGTAAAAGTAAACGTATTCACCTGGTCTTTATTTTGTAGAAAAAAAATCGTTAACTGAAAAAAACATATATTAAGGAACTCAAAATAAGGAATAAAATCAATGAACAAGATTCCTACTTTGCATTCTGGCAATATCTTCTCAAAAAACTACAGTAGTTGACGTTACATTAATATGCTATGTCAACTTTACCCCTTATTTACATTCAAATCATCGTTACTTGAATTTTTTCCTGCCTTGATCATTCAGAACACTCACTGGGGGAACTTGATAATAAAGAATCTTATAATTTGTTTTTGGCTACTTGTAGCTCTTAGACTAACTAATAATTCGAATTGTGCGGGATAATCAGTAGATATCGGTAAAATAAATGATTGCTTATTGCAAAAAGAAGAGGAAAAAAAGCAGTTTTTTTTTCCTGACTGCAAAACTTTGTATCAAAACTGCAGAAGCAAAACTGAAATAACATCCTCAAAACTGACTGCGTTAAGTGAAAAGCAAATATTTATGCTACAGTACTGTAAGGGGAAAGCCCGTTTGGAAATATAGATAAGTATATCACCTTACCGAAGAATGGCTGTTTGCTTGCCCCACGCCCATCTCATAACATATCGTCGAGCAAGTTCCAACAAATCTATAACTATAACCTTATAGATGTTTTTTTTTTGTTGTTGTTGTTGTTGTTTTTTTTTTTTTGAGAACGAAGGCGTTCTTCCTTAATTCAGTCTTTTTCGGTTATATCACTCGTGTTGCCCTGAATGGCCAATAATAAACGATAAGTAGCATATATGACAATTATTTAATCATGTTAACTAGGGTAAATACTTATTCCCCTTACCTGTTGGTCCTTTAATATCGATATCCCTGAACGCTCCTCTCAGTCCGTCAAAACCTGCCTTACATTCTTCAACGGTACGAACCATTCCACTTGCAACCCCCAACTTCATGTTTTCAACGAACTGTGCAAATGTCTCGTTGATTTCCATCAGTTTTTCTCTAACAGTCTCCATTTCCTCCACCGTCGAAGGCTGAAAATGAGGCAGGGCTTTGTCGACGTCCAGAGGCAAAAAGCAAATTGAAGACCAGCAGAAAATATTTGGGCCCATCATCCAGTCGCCAGAATAGTAATCATAAGCAAAAGGGACGCCATAGGGAAACATATGTCTCATCCAATGGGATAACTGAGCCTTGGCACGCTTTTCTCGCAAATTCAGTTTGTTCTCTTTGATGTCCATGTTTTCCAGTCGTTTGGTCAGCTTGACAATCTCATCTGTGACAAATTTGATCCGCGCCGGAGTTGAATCGTAGCTTCTGTAACGTTGCCGGATTTCATTTGGGGTCACGCCCGGCTTAAAAGCGATCTTGTGCGGTAAAAGCTCATAAAATTTTTCTTGCGCTTCGTGCAAAAACCTTTCTAGCCCCGAGCGTCTAGCTTCTGCTGAGTATCCACAATCAAGGTTAATTGCTCGAGCAACTTTAGGTGGTGGGCACTGCAATGTGTCCTTTTTCGTATTTGCCCTTACCATGAGTACAATTCCAGCGACAAGACAAGCGATACCGCCTGTTATCAGCGCCCCAATAACAATAGATTCTAACCTTGTACGCCTTCGCGTTTTTAACGAGACATCTTGGTAGTGAAGCGCCATTTCGATATCCGCATTAAAGGAAAAATAAATCTTTTAACATAACTTCTTACCCCGGGGTAAATTCGAGGAGCCTTCAGTCGGAAACGACTCTTGAAGTACCACTCTAGAAAACAGTCCTTGACCAAGTGCAATTAATGCTTGGTTTCTTATGAAGTTTAAAACCAATCAGACTATCCAACTCGTGTCCGGTCTTTTCATTTTTGTATTTTTCATTAGCAAAGACTTTTCGGTATACAACACTTGGCGTGCTATATGGGATGTTGTTGACTTTTTCATTTAATAGATATGGAAATTTGTCACTTCACAGTGGAGCGCATGAGAGGCAATCTACAATTGTAAACAGGCAAACTAAATATATTGTTTCACGTTCATTCACGGCTTTATGGGCAATTCTCAAGTCAAGAGCACTAAAATCCTTAAATACGCACTTAAAGAAATTAACGAGAGATAAAAACTGATTTGCAAAAACACAGAAGAAATATCAAAAATCAAAATCAAAGTGCGCAACTTAAAATGCCGCCCAAAACATGCGGTTAAAAAAAACAGTTTCGTGTATTTAGTGATCCACTTATGAGGGCAGCGAAAACCCAGCAAAATCATTAACACAGATAAAGTATAGTTTATTGATTCCTCTGTGATGGGAACACGACTAAATAATGGGTGTTTTTTTTATTAGTTAACGTGGCTTTTCTTTGAGCCAGCTTGTGCTCAGTACTTAGCAAAATCCAATGGGAAACCCAACTGAGAAATTGGAAGATTTTCTCCGCTTGCTTTTCCTTTAGAATTTCTACGCCTTTGAAGTGAAGTCTTTGAAGCAATAATGATGACTTTTAAAGAGGGCTTTAGATTTTGGAGGATCACGTCTTTTTCCCCCAACTATGCATATTTATAAGTTGCCAGTTCAATCTACGAAAGTAATAAGGTTTTTCTGGAACTGAGAAAATATTTTCCCCGAATCCGTTTACCTTAAATATGCCCCCTGCACTATTACAGACACCATCAGTTAACGTTCAAAGACATCNAGAAATATCAAAAATCAAAATCAAAGTGCGCAACTTAAAATGCCGCCCAAAACATGCGGTTAAAAAAAACAGTTTCGTGTATTTAGTGATCCACTTATGAGGGCAGCGAAAACCCAGCAAAATCATTAACACAGATAAAGTATAGTTTATTGATTCCTCTGTGATGGGAACACGACTAAATAATGGGTGTTTTTTTTATTAGTTAACGTGGCTTTTCTTTGAGCCAGCTTGTGCTCAGTACTTAGCAAAATCCAATGGGAAACCCAACTGAGAAATTGGAAGATTTTCTCCGCTTGCTTTTCCTTTAGAATTTCTACGCCTTTGAAGTGAAGTCTTTGAAGCAATAATGATGACTTTTAAAGAGGGCTTTAGATTTTGGAGGATCACGTCTTTTTCCCCCAACTATGCATATTTATAAGTTGCCAGTTCAATCTACGAAAGTAATAAGGTTTTTCTGGAACTGAGAAAATATTTTCCCCGAATCCGTTTACCTTAAATATGCCCCCTGCACTATTACAGACACCATCAGTTAACGTTCAAAGACATCTTTGACGCTCAACTTGAGCAGGAGGAAGGTGACTTCGAGGCATAACAAATATGCCCGGTTTGGTCAAACAGACTTGAGATACAAGCAAAACTTATTAATTATGACTAGATAAGAATAATTTGTATTGTATCTTTCTTATCCCACTATCCACCTGGAAATGTTGTGAGGTTGTTAAGCGTCTTCACTAAAGCGTCTTCACCCAAAATAAAGTCTTGTAATACCCCCAGAACAAAGCGGAAGCAAGGGGTGGAAAGATTCTGAAATTTTCGAAGTTTTGCCTTTTGCGCATGGGCCATCTTTAACACCTGTGTTTTTTTTTGCACCAGGAACGTTCTGGTAGCTTCGCGTCGATTTGGCTAGGCAGTGACCAGAAAAATGCTTGACTACCTTCCCAACTATTACTATAATGTAGTCCAATATTTAAAATGAGAAGCCGAAATGTCGATAATTAGTTTTATTACACTTTTGATAGAAACTTTTGCCCACAGAATGCCACAGAAAAGAAACAGACTTACGTTCCCTTTGTTTAACAGTCCCATACCTTAAAGACATGCTGTGGTATGTTGTCTAACTTCTGCAAAGTTGAGTAGCATGTACACAAAAGTACGTGGAACCGCTTGTACCGTACAAGAGGAAATAGTACTATTTCCACATAGGTTTTAATTACAATGACTTTCCCTAATTGTTTAGGCATCCAGGCTTGGAAACAACAGATATCCTGTATCATTTCTAAAGCATGAGCTTCTTCTTTCTCAGATTCTGTAACATCAATCTTGCAAACCAAAAGCATATTTGGGGTCCTTTTCATCACAATGTCCTCTACTTTTTAAACACGTACAGCTGCTGTACATCTTCTTATTGAAGTTAATTTATACTTTCACAGCCAGTATACTCTACATGTGTGAACGTTCTACAGGAGTTAGACTGTAATAGTCTTAAAAGGCCAGTTTTTTAATCAACAGGTATATATGGTTGTCCACTTCCATTCCGTGTAAGTTGTTTGCATCACCTTGAAGTCTCATGAGCAGACCTCCAAATGAAACATATGCAGCTCTATATTACAAGAAAAAGTAACAAGCTTCAACTTAAAATCAGTTCAAAATACCTGTTGTAACAATAATTATTGCCATTATTTAGCAAATACAATGCACATAATGATAGAGCAGGAAAGCATGTTCAGCTCAGGAGAAAGGGGCCTAGCCTGCTCACAGACATTTTTTCTTCTCTTTTCTCCCCCCCAATTTGGTGTGTGCTTGAGTAATACAACAGTGAGCACAGAGCCCAAGAAAAAAAGTCTATTTTCTACTACCCAACCCCCTCCCCGCTGTTTGCGTAGCGGTCAATAAATCTCCTGTGATTTTTATGCTCATATGAACACTTGACAGTCTCTAAAGAGAAAATAGTGAGTCTGTAAACAGGCTAAGAGGGCCCCAAATTGAATATAATTTTTCATGGCCCTACAGGCCTTGCTTTGGCCTTTCAATAAGGTGAAACAACCCCAGGGACTCCTCCCCTAGATCTGCCAAGGGTCATTATGGTGGTGACTCAATAAATCAAGTTAATGGATGCTAAATTTTAGAAAGCTTTATTCATTTGAAAAAATACTCTCTACAAATATCAGCATCCCATGTCTACGTGTATACCATTCCCACTCATTCAATAACAAGTTTGATTAAATCCAATTTTGAACAAAAAACAGATGGCAACAGATATACATGTATTTTCTTATTAAATAGCATCCCGCTGATGTGCTAGACTACATTACATTCTTTAATTTTGAAGTAGTTTGTTTACATAACCTCAAGTTGCCTTTTTGGTTAAGGTAATTTACAATATTGCCAGTACAAAATAGAAGAGCGCCCTATATTGACAGAGAATTGGTAAATGGCCTGGGGTATTATCCACAAAAAAAAACTGAATTGAGCTGAGCAGTAAATTTATTGCATACTTACAATCTGGTTGGAGCATCCATTGCACCATCATCTCCTTCTATTCTGTAGACTTTACCATACATAACATATTCAAACTGATCAGCACGGGAAAGACTGGTA